CCTCCTATTCCAATCACGCCTTCGTCTGTTTCCGGGAAAACTGAGATCCCGTTGGGCCGGACCATACAAAGTGGTCAAAATCCATCCACACGGGGCGGTGGAAATTGAAGACCCAGAGACGGGAGAAGTGCTCAAAGTGAACGGACAAAGACTAAAACCCTTCTTTGAGGGTTTTCAACCCAAGAACGTGGAGATCATAGACCTTTCTGAACCGGTCTATGAATAAAGGAGAAACGAAGATATCGTCGAGCCACGACGTTAAACAAAGCGCTTCTTGGGAGGCAACCCAAGCAAGGTATGTTTTCTGTATCATTTTATCAAATAGAGTGTGTGTGTAAAAAAAAAAAAAAAAAAAAAAAAAAAAAGTGTATCTGGGGACATGCCCGATCGAGTACTCTGTAATACTCGGTCGGGTATGGGTAAAAAGAGGACCCGATTTCCATACTCGATCGAGATACAGATCAATTTTCAAGGATACAGGCATACTCGATCGAGTACATTATCATACCCGGTCGAGTATGCCTGGAATATCAACTCCATCGGATGCCTGTCTCTGAGGCCCGATCGAGTACATATCCATACTCGATCGAGTATTTGTAGAAAAATAAAAATAATAAACCCCTGCCTCCAGTACTCGATCGAGTACATTATCATACCCGGTCGAGTATGGGTTAAAAAAATAACTGTTCTATCCCCCTGCCTCCAGTACTCGATCGAGTATAGGTTGATACTCGGTCGAGTATGCCCAGAAAACACCCAAATCTTATCCCCTGTCTCGGGCACCCGATCGGGTATACAGGGATACTCGATCGGGTACCCCTGCGGTCTGCGGATATAACCCCAAATACACCCAAAACACTTCATCTTCCCCAACACTCTCCAAAAATTCGAACCCCCTCTCCCCCAAACTCCATTTTCAACCCTTCTCTCTACCATATCTCTCTCAATTCTCCACCAAATCAACCCATTCCACCACCAAAATACTCCCTTCACTCTCTTCTCCATATCTATACCCAAAAATCCCATTTTCCCCAAACTTCCACCAAATCCAAAAAAACCCTACCCCATTCGAATTTGAGCTCCAAAGCTTCAACAATGGCTCCAAGGAAGCAAAGGGGAGAAAGTTCAAACTCCATGGCACCTATTCCCGGCTTTGAGGACATAATTCCCGCCGATAACGAGCACCGGGCTAGACTCCTCTCCACTACTAAAAGGCAAGTAAAACCTTCCCGTTTCCTATGCCATAATGCTCTCCATGAATTGGGTGTTTATAAGAGTATGAAAAAATTCTTTTATGAGTTGAGTATGGATCGTATCTTCAAAATGAAATACAATTCGAATGAAAGAATTATATATGAATTCATAAGCTCGGTGCAATTTGAGAGTGATGAGGATGATTTTAGGGATGACAAACTCAAGTTTCGTTTGTTCAATCGAAATTATTCTATTACAAAACTTGAGTTTGCCGAACACTTTGGCATCCCCGTGCCCTACGAGAGAGCTATCTCGGATACCACCATTTTTGGGCACTCCCTATGGACAAAGATGACCGGGGAAGTGAAATTTAGTTCATCCCAAATGTACATTAGTCATGTCCAACACCCCGTTCTCCGGTTGTTCTTGAAATTCTTAGCCAATTGCTTGCTTGGCCGTCCCAACAACCATCACACTCGAATCGGGGACGTGTGTTTAATGTCCGTGGCGTTATTCCGTCGTCACGTGGATTTTAATTTGTGCAATCTCATGTGGGCACATTTGAAGAAAGAAAGCGTAGCAAAAGGGGCCATAGTTGTGGGGGGAGTGATAATGCACTTGGCAAGTAAGTTCGGGTATACGGACAACTCTCCTATACCCGACTATTGCTTGATGGATATGGGTTGGCTAGGACGCTCGGGATGTACATCTTTCTCCCATACGGTGTATATTGGAGACCAACCCAAGAACATGTATAATTGGGTCATACACGTACAACCTAACCAATATTTCCTAATGCCAAACCCGGACACCCCCAAACTACGCTACAAACCGGAGTTCGAGGAGCCTCACTACCTATTCCCTCACGCCCTTCCACCACATTTCCAAGAACCCGACGCCCAACAACCCCCCGAAGATCAACATGACCAAGAACAAGAAGAGCACCAAGAACCCGAGGATGCACCTCACCCAATGCTCGAATACAACCAAGCCCCACCACCCCCCGATTACTTCCAACAATTACTTGATGGGTTCGAGAGAGTTACCAATGAAGTTGGTAAGTATCGGGAAGAACAAAGGGCGGGATTTCAAAGAATAGAAGAGCAAAGGGCCGAAGACAACCGACGGTATGAAGAGGATCAACGTAGGTTCTATGGACCTATGTACTCTTACATGGCTCATCAAGGCCAATTCCACACCATGGCTCAACCACCACCACCCCCCTCTTGGTATGACCCCACTCAATGGGGTAATTTTGGAGGATCTAGCTCCGGGGGTGGAGGTTTTGATGGCGGGGATGACGGCGGCGACGCCCACATGGGCGATGGGAGCTATGGAGGAGGCTTTGGAGGCGGCTTCTACGGCGGAGAAGGCGGGCACTAGGGACCGTGCTTGATCTAGGTGTGGGGGAGGAGACTAATCATGGTATGTAAGTTCATTTTCTACCCTTTACTACGCATGAATTTCTTTTGCTCTTTGTACAAAAAAAAAAAGGATAAATAAAAGAATTGCAATGCTAGTTAGGTTGAAAACCCAAGAATGGGCAATCTAAGCAAAAATGGCTTATAAAAAAAAAATGAGTGAGTTTGGAAAGGATGGAAAAACAAAAAGAGATGCTAGGATGAAAACCTGAAAAGGCTCCTAGGCAAAATGAGAGATATGAGAGAAGTATTTGTTGTATGCAGGAACTCATTTGATCTCTTGAGGAGAAAGAGGAGAAAGCAAAGAAGAAGAGGCAAGAAGATGGAGCATAGAAGATCATAAAACCCAAGAGAAAAATGTTGTGTGTAAAATCATTCTCTTATTTCTTGGTGGTCTTAGTTCCTTTCTTTCTTGAACTCATGGAATGATCTTAAACTGTTTTGAAACATTTGACTTTACTCGAGGACGAGTAAAGAACTAAGTGTGGGGGAGTTTGATACATGTGTAATTTCCATGTTTATGTTTGCATTTTTAGTTACTTTTTGTAGTTTAGCATTTTGGAAATTACACACTTTTGGTGTAATAGTTTAGTTGTTAAAATTCTTGTAAAAAGTTTAGATTAGGTTTATTTTGGGCTCAAACAGGTCTACAAGCACTCAAAGGATAGTTGGTGAACCCCAAAAGTGGACAGAAGGTACAAAAATCACAAGACAAAAAGAGAATCCTGATTTTGGTCTATACTCGGTCGAGTATATATATATACTCGATCGGGTATCTGGTTGACATTTCAAATCGGATCGGATCCGAAAACAAAGGAACATGCAGGAGAAGATTTTCCCACGATCCAGTGTCTATACCCGATCGGGTATACCTCTATACTCGATCGGGTATAGCTATAAAAAACTACCCGAGTATTGATCGAGTATAGAGCAAATTAGATGTTCTACACATACTCGATCGAGTATGTATACATACTCGATCGAGTACTCGACCTGCACCTCAAAAAGCCTATAAATACACCTCCTTTCCTTCACTTTTAGATCACCAATTCCTTTATACTCTTAAGCTCAGTTTAGAATAGCATTTCTCTATATTTCTTTTAGCATGTTTAGTCTCCAAATGAGGAGCTAAACTTCCATTTCTTGGTTTTGCTCTTGAAGCTTGATTGATTATTAAAGTTGTGAGTTATTTTCTTACTCTCTCTTCTTGATTATTAATTCTTCCCTTAATCTCATTCTACATCATTGTTGGAGGGTTGCTAAGTGACGATTAGTTAACGTTCCAACATTGATTATTACTAGAAACGATCAACGAACCGATGGTTAATCGTTGATAGTTTCACAAGTAAGTAACTTCGGTTTGTTAATGCACGGTCGTGGTTAATAAACTTAAGAGGGATCAATTTTGTTGGTTAAACCGAAACCGTTGCGTTGAGGTTATCAATCTCAATTGATTTCATCAAGGAGTTAAAGAGGTTAAAAGCTACTATTATATCGGTATACGGCGTTGTTCTATATTTGATTAATAGTAAGGGTTATTAATGAACGGTCGTTGTTAATAACTACCCTCGATGAACTGGATATACTCCTCGATTGAGTATTCGAGAGGGGACAAGTTATGGATATAACAATGATCGACTAAAATATATCAACAAGTGGAAAGTAGCAAGACCAAGTCCCTTTTATTCCTGAATTTAATCCCATATAACTCTTTCATCTTCGTGTTTAAATTAATTAAATCACTCAACAAACAAAACCCCCCTTTATTTACTATATTCATAAAAAGAAAGTTATTCCTTTCCCTGTGGATACGAACTCTACTTCACTATACTACGTATAAGTGTTGTATTGTATTTATTTTGAGTGCACTCACGACAAAGTGCACGTCAGGTAGTATATTACAATTCATTCAATTTAATGCAAATTTGATTCTAGATAGCCATTCATCACCCCCACTGGCTACTGACAAATGTGAAAGGACAAAGTGCCGTCCATTTTATCTTTTTGCCTTTTAGTGCTCCATATATAAATTATGAAAAACTATCAAATAAGTGTGGAATAATGGAACAGGTTACCCTCAAAGGAGCCCTGACAGATGAATATATAAAGAATAAAATATCCAAAATACAACTGAGCCAGAATAAGCCCAATATAACTATTACACCCCCTCAAGTTGTGCGGGAGATACAACGCGCAGGTTGTCCTTAAGAAAGTTAAACTGCTGACTAGAGAGACTTTTTGTAAAAATATCAGCAAGCTGAAGATGAGTAGGAACATATTTCACAATCAAATCGCCATGTGCTACTCTCTCGCGAACGAAATGATAATCAATCTGAATGTGTTTACTCCGAGCATGCTGAATAGGATTTGCTGTCAGATAAGAAGCTGAGATGTTATCACATAATAGCTGCACAGGTGCCTTGATAGGAAAACCAAGCTCAAATAGTATGGATTTGATATGTAATGTGTCTTGGACAGTATAAGCTATAGCACGATACTCAGCCTCTGTGGAAGACTTGGAGACCGTGGGCTGCTTTTTGGACTTCCAAGAGACAAGATTAGGACCCAAGAAAACAGCAAAGCCAGTAGTGGAGCGAGAGCTATCTGGACAGCCCGCCCAATCAGCATCAGAATAAGCCATAATATATGTAGGTCGGTCAGATGTCTGGAGCCACAGTCCATGATCTAGAGTACCCTGCAGATATCGAAAAATGCGCTTGACAGCAAGCAAGTGAGTAGTACGGGGGGCATGCATAAATTGGGACACTAAATGTACTGCATAAGTAATATCAGGCCGTGTCAAAGTTAAATACTGTAATGCACCAACCATACGACGATACTCAGTGGCATCTGTAAGAAGCTCACCATCAGTGAGAGAGAGAGTAGTACGTGTAGCAAGAGGGGTACGCACAGACTTAAGAGTATGTAAGTGAAAACGAGTGAGGAGATCAGACACATATTTTTGCTGAGACAAAAACAAACCTTTAGGAGTCCGAACGGCCTGGACACCTAAAAAATAATGCAGATCACCCAAATCTTTCATAGCAAAATGATTAGCTATTACACGAATAAAGGAGTTGACAACAGAAGAAGAATTACCAGTAATAATTATGTCATCTACATATAATAATAAATAAATAACAGAATTATTCTGGCGAAAAATAAATAACGAATTATCAGACTGACTACATACAAAACCATGAGTAAGGAGAAAACTACTAAAGCGATGAAACCAAGCTCGCGGTGCCTGTTTGAGACCATAAATAGCCTTACGCAAACGACATAAATGATGAGGGAACTGAGGATGAATAAAACCGCGAGGCTGGCGCATATAAACCTCTTCTGTCAAATAGCCATGCAAAAAGGCATTTTTTACATCTAACTGACGCACAACCCACCCGAAGGAAATAGCAAGAGTAAGAACAAGACGAACTGTGGTGGGTTTAACAACAGGACTAAAAGTCTCAGAAAAATCAATACCGGCTTGTTGATTAAAACCTTGAGCTACTAACCGTGCTTTATAGCGCTCAACTGAACCATCTGAATGATATTTAGTCTTGTAAATCCACTTAGAGCCAACCACATTTTTAGTAGCATCAAATGGAACTAATTCCCAAGTATTATTGGAGATAAGAGCATTAAATTCCTCAGCCATAGCCTCACGCCATTTAATATGTTTATTAGCCTCAGTAAAACATGTGTGATCAGCAGAAGTAACAACTGTGTTTAAACTAAAAATTGATTTTGGTTTAAAAATTCCGGACTTGGACCTTGTTTGCATGGGATGAACACTAAGCGACGGACCTAAGGTGGAGGACGGGGCATAGGAAGTAGGTTGAGTGAGTGGCTGGGTCGAGGTTACTGTAGCAGAGGGTGGATTTAGTGTGTTAGTTTCGGTTGTATGGAGTGGACTGTCAGTAGGTGTAGTTTCGGTTGCATGGAGTGGACTGCCAGTAGGACTCTTGGGAGGGGAAGGTGGAATAAAAGGCGTGGGGCTCCTGGGAGGTGAAGGTGGAGTAGAAAGTTGTTGGGGCAACATAGGAGCAGTAAATGTAGAACCGGTGCTATTGAGAGAAGAGTGGGATGATTCGGACATATGGTTTGAAGCTGGAGAAAAAGATGATGAGGTCTGTTGATCCAACGTGGATAGAGGCCAGTTGGTGGGAAGGGTGGATGGGTCGGTAAGGGAGGATTTTTCAGGCAGAGGGGAAGGACAGAGAGTGGGAAAGGGAAAGGAATTTTCATGGAAATGAACATGACGACTAATATATATTCTGCCAGATTTAGGCTCAAGACAACGATAACCCTTATAACCGGAGGCATAGCCAAGAAAAACACACAAAACAGAACGAGGAGAAAGTTTATTTGAGGAAGAAGCAGAGATATTGGGAAAACAAGCACACCCAAACACACGTAGAAAAGAATAATCAGGAACTTGCTGAAAAAGTTTTTCAAAGGGAGATAAGCCAAAGAGGACAGGAGAAGGTAAACGATTAATAATGTATGCAGCCGTAAAAATAGCATCAACCCAAAAACTACTAGGAATAGAGGCATCAAGAAGCATAGTCCTAGTGAGTTCGAGAAGATGACGGTGTTTGCGTTCTGCTACCCCATTTTGTTGTGGGGTCTCAGGGCAAGATTTTTGAAAATAAATGCCATGTTCTTCAAAAAATTGTTGCATACTAAAATTAACAAATTCACCCCCTCCATCACTTTGAAAAATTTTAATTTTAGAATTAAAAAGATTCTCAACTAAGGCTTTAAAATTTTTAAAATGATGAAAAACTTCATTCTTTTTACGCATAGGATACAACCAAGTAAACCTAGAAAAATCATCAATAAAGCAAACATAATATTTAAAACCCAAATTGGATAAAACAGGAGACTGCCAAACATCAGAATGAATTAATTGAAGAGGCATAGAAGTAGTATGACTAGCATCCATAAACGGTAATCGTTGTGATTTGCCTAACCGGCAAGAAATACAATCATGGGAAAAAGTTGAACTACTACAAATATGTTTGTGTTTACTAAGAAGGCGTAAAACATGTTCGCCACAATGTCCTAATCTACGATGCCAGACTGGACCAGATGTAGTAACTGACGATAAAGCTAGAATAGGTGACTGGGCCAAGGTAAGAGGATATAGATGACCGTCGCTAGTTGCTTGAAGAAGGACCGCCCCCGAAACTTTGTCCTTTATAAAAAAAGAATTTTTATCAAAAATAGCAACACAGTTGTTATCCGCACACAATTTTTGGATAGAGAGTAAATTAAATTTGAGATGAGGCACATGATAAACAGATTTTAGCACAAGGGGACGACTGATAGTATTTAAAGTAATATCACCAATATTAGCCACAGAGAGATTAGAACCATTAGCAACACTAACTGATATGGGGCCATGATAAGGGAATTTATTAACTAGCATACCTTCATTCGGGGTCATATGAGCTGAAGCCCCAGAATCAGGGTACCATAAAACATGATTAGCATCGCCACTAGGAGTCAGTAAGGCCGGTGTGGATGAAGAAGAAAACCGAGAGGGACAATGCATAGCGGAATGACCTACAGAAAAACAAATCTGACAGACAGTGGGAGAGGGAACAGACCCAAGAACTCCCTCAGCAGATGGAAAGCCTGCATTTCCAGAGTTAGTACCAAACGTATAGAAGGGATTAATATTTAAAGTTGATACAACAGAATTACTAGCAGTACCTGAAGTGCCCGATCGTGGAGGAACCGCACCCCCTGGAGCAAAAGCCGGCTGCTGACCGAACTGAGGTGGATGCTGGCCGAGCTGGATAGGTGGGTGACCAACCTGAGGCTGCTGCTGGCCGTGAGGTGCTGCCGGACCAGCCTGCTGGTAATGCTGGCCGTTGTTGAACCGACCTCTCCCACGACCCCCCCTGCCGCGGCCACCGCGACCTCGGCCCCCTCTGCCGCGCGGTGCGTACGCTGGAGGTTGCTGACCAACGGCTGGGACTGCCCCAAAGGCCTGGTGAATGGTGGCAGCCTGCTGCCGGTTGTACAAAACACGTTGTTCTTGCTCTAATAGGCGGGGTTCCAAGATATGAAACGGAAAACTATCCGGAAATAAAGTAATAGTACCCACCAAAGACTCATATTCAGGTCCCAAACCCGAGATAACATACTCAAGTAACTCCTTATCCGTGATAGGAGAATTAATTGCAGCAAGAGCTTCAGCCATAACTTTAATATCCCTCAAATAATGTTCCATGGATTGTGATTCTTTCTTTTTATTGTGAGATAATAAACGACGAAGCTCCATGGCACGGGGTAAACTAGCAGACATAAACCTACTTTGTAAGCGCTCCCAAATTTCTCGGGAATGCTTAAGATGATGAACATCAACTAAGACATCCCTAGTCAGAGTCGCAAACAACCAGGAACGAATGGTTTGATCCACACGCAACCAGTAATAATATTCAGGATTACTGACTTGCCGACTAGTACAATCAGTAGTAGAAAATGAAGGTACCTGAATAGAACCATCAAGCATGCCAAAGAGACCCTGAGACACCAAGAAAGACTCGAATTGGGTGCGCCAAGTGAGATAATCTTCAACGGCTTTTAGCTTTATAGTAACAATTTGAGCAACCGTTGTAATGTGGGATACTGATTGTGCCATGGCTGCCATAGGGGACCCGAAAATTGAGGAATCAGTGGGACGAATGATGCCTGGGGAGCCACTGAATGTAGGGCCGAAGAAAGTTGCACTGCTCTCAGATGGTTGCATCAGACCGGAGGGCTGCTGCGGTGGAGCAATTTGCTAGGGAGACGGACTCTGTGCTGCGAACTGAACCTGGGCAGAAGAGAACACCGGACCTGGAGGTTGCAAAGGCGGAGCAATCTGCCATGGAGCCGTGTTGGATGCTGGAAATTGGATCTGCGTAGGCTGGGTTGAAGTTGGAGCCGCAAGCGTCGGAACTGGAACTACCTGCCATGGAAATTGAGGAGTTTGCACCTGCGCTGGAGAGGACTGGAATGGGGCCTGCTGCCACGGAACCTGAGGAGGCTGAACCGGAGCGGTCTGCCACGGGAATTGAGGTGGCAAATCGTTGAAAAGGCTGTAGGTGCTCGTCGAAGTGCAGGGAGAGGAGAATTGCTCTGAAATTTGAGGCACCACAGATGAAATAGCCGGTTGCGTCATCGTGGAGGAGATGGTGCCGATGGAGAGACTTGCTGTGGCTGCTGCAGTAAAGACGGAGGAGAAGAGAGCATCGGTTGATGATGATGCGCCGATGTGTGGCGGTGAGGAAGTATCGACCGAAGACATGGCCGAAAAAAATTTTTATAAACCTAAGCTCTTGATACCATGTGGAATAATGGAACAGGTTACCCTCAAAGGAGCCCTGACAGATGAATATATAAAGAATAAAATATCCAAAATACAACTGGGCCAGAATAAGCCCAATATAACTATTAATAAGTCCCTCTGTTATATTGAAAATAGCAATTAAGCTCTCACACTTCAAAAACACTCAATCAAACCCTCTAGTAATGTAAACGCCCAATTTAGTCCTTTACCCGGTCAACAATCAATTTATCCGGTAACCACAGCTTGCGTGGATGTTCAATTGTTTTTAGTTTTTCTATTCCATTTTTTTTACTTTCCTTGCTGGCCAATCTGAAAAGCCCAAGTCCATACTTTGTCACCATCTAATATCTCGCAGCAAACTTCTCCCATCATAAAATGTTCAGTTGCAGGTCAGTAACATGGCCGCCTAGTAGGTTGTTTTACCACAAATTTCCAAATCAAAACATCTGGTTTTAAAAGTAAATATATTTGATTCTGACTGAAACCTGCTTTATTTCATTTTATTTGTCTTAAGATTTGCCTTAGTTTGCTTAAATTTCATAAGAGTTAGCCGGCGAAGGGGCGACGACAGATGGAAAAGGAGACAATTAAATAAAAGAAAAAAGTACAAAAAAAGAAAAAGTAAAAAGAAACGAAAGAGGAAGGTAGAAGTTTACACTTTACATGTAGTCATATGTGGTTACCAGGGGCGGATCTACACAGGCAGTAGGGGGGGCAGCTGCCCCCAATAAAGGCTCACTAAACTCCTATATTTCTTAATAAATATTAGGAATCCAAGAAATTGCCCCCAATAGAAAAAATCTGTTGCCCCCTATAACCCAGGACCGTCCCAGTCCAAGTTGTTAAAATCTTGAGATCGGATTTCAGGATCATAGAATCACCCAAACGGTAAACCCATTTGATGATTGATGATGACGGCTTCATAGAAATTAGAGAAATTTAGAGAAAATCCTTCAATTGTTAGCCTTCATGCGTGACTCCTATGAGTGGAGAAGTAGTCAAGCTCTGCAACAGGATACGAAGGCGAAGACTCCTCACGTTAGCCACACATTTGTTCTGCTATTCAATTTATTTTTAATTTTCTTTATCAAATTGAATGGCCCATGAACTTGCTTGGTTTTGTTTAGTCCTGGGTAGAGATTTTATTTTTATGTAAACATAAATATTAAGTCATCTTATTAAACTTATTATTATGTTATTAATTCATTATAAGATTATTGATTTACCTAATTGTAAGACAATAGAAATTGCCATTTAGTAATTAAAAATTCTAAATGTATACTACATGTGTACCAAATAGTTTTGCAAATTCAATATTTTTCGCCAATCAATATTAAGGTTAAATTTTCCCTATTGATAATTAATTGAATTTTAATAATTGAAATTTACATTTTCAAAAGCTACATTAAAATCTCTGTATAGTTGCGAAATTCAAATTAAAATTTACTTACGAATTGATATCTTAATTAAGTGAATAAATGAATCTGTTTGACTCAAAAAGTCAATTTTGCAACTCAATTTGGGACGGAGTGAGTACTATAATATTACTATCTGTTACGAAAAACTTTGTCATCTTATAGAGTTTGGTACATGCGAATAGTTGTGACGCTGTCTGTTAAAACTTTTGCTATTGTAATATCACATATAGTTTATTACTTCATCCATTTCCTTTTACCTGTCTTACTTAATTTCCTTTTAGGTTGTCCCAAAATAAGTGTCAAAAAGGAAATATGGCTGACATTTCACTTTGTTATATTCAGATCTTAACGACAACTTTTTCTTTTTCAATCACTTTATTTATAATTATGCTAAACCAGAACAAGTCATATAAAATAGGACGGAAGAAAGTGAGGAAGCGTCCAGTCCAGCTGGTCGCCGACTTACTCTTCTTTACGGGAGGTCTCGGGTTCGAAACTCAATAAAGTGAGTTTCAGCCCCCCAGCCCCCTTCCCCCAGCCCCGGAAAAGAAAAAAAAGAGCAGAAGATTTTTTTTCTCTATTGTATCTTCTAATTTTTCCGCCCCCAATTAAATTTTATCCTGGATCCGCCACTGTTGGTTACTTGGTTGAGACCGGCTAAATAGGGCTGATCCAATTTTTTTTAATAGTTTAAGGATTTAATTGAGCGTTTTTAGAGTATGAATGTTCAATTACTGTTTTTGATATAGTAGGAGGGCTTATTTGATAGTTTTTCCTATCAATTACTCCGTACTTCATACTCCATTACTCAGTATCATATACCCATAGTATTCATTTACACTCCGTATGAAGAAAGCGGCACAAAACTCAAAAGTCATGAGAGTATCGATAATAATTAATCAATACTCATTATCCCCTATATTATTATTGTCATATTTCTTCCGAAATTGAAAATTAAAAACACACACACATTTACAATTGATAGAGAAACCGAATTCAGAAATACATAGAGAAACAACAAGTCAACAACCTGCGGGAAAGTCAGATAAAATCGAAGCCTGGAGATAGGAGATCTGGCCGTCTGAAGCACTAGAGCTGGCGTGTGTCGGTGTGTGAATTGAAAATCTGCCCAACGGCAGGATACATGATAGATGTCGACCAGTCGATGACCGCTTAGCAGACCTGAAGAGCCGCAGGCTCGCGGCGGTCTGCGGAGAAACTGGAGACCGGAGGTCTTGACTCTTGTCTTGGAGGAGCTTAGCATATTGTTTGGGATTTCAGGATTACCGAGGGCAGGCTGCGGAAAATTCTCTGGAAGACGGAGAGTGGAATCGCAGGTTTTTTCTCAAAACAACGTCGTTTTGATTAAAAAAAAGTGAGATTTCTGAGTGTTCACTTGACCACTACCAGGTTCGCCCCTGGGTCATCGTCTTTCTTCCACAATTTGTAACGGCGCTAGGCGCCGGGCCTGCCGGGAGATAAAAGAATTTAAACACATTATCTACTTTGTTAAGAAAAAAAAGACAAACCCTATTTCGAAATGAGCTCAACCATATATACATTTTCCATATGTACATTTTCTCCTCAAAATCCTTAAAGATAGCTCTTACCGATTCGTATGACTCGTATAAATTTTACAATTAAGCTATATACTTGATCTAATTGAGTAGAAGTATATTATAGTTGCAACTATTTATTAAAATGATAATGTGCCGATTATTTCATACGAGTATATATTATATTATCATTGGGGAAATTAATTAAAATACCCCAAATTTTGAAGAAGTGTGAGATAAACACACCGAACTTTCATATGTAATTTAAACACTACAAACTTTATATAAAAAGTTATTTTAGCACCATGACCATACATTATTTTTTTCAATAAAGTAAATATATGATGTTAATTGCATAATTTAAAACAGCAAATTAAAAATGATACAATTATATAGGGTGGGGGTAGTATTATTTATTTTGTAATGGAAGTTTAAAATGTTAATTGTATCTTCATGAATGCTAAAATATTTTAATTCATGAAATTAACTCAAAAAACTAACATTTTTAAAGAAATAATTTATGACCATGATGTGCAAATAACTTTTTATATAAAGTTTGGGATATTTGAATTACATACGCAAGTTTGAGGTGTTTACCTTATACCCTTATTTTAATTATTTTTCCCTATAATAGTATTCCGTATGCAATTAGACCCGATCATAGCTCATGTGAAGGGAAGAAAAAAAGGATAAAGTATGGGTTTTGGAAATGAAAAAGAAGTTTAGAAATATTCCAAAATAAGGAGTATAGCCTTAGGGAGAAACTAGTTTTGGACCTGGTTCGGGCCGCCCGCTACTGTGCGGGACCGGGACCGGGACCGCCCCGGTTCTCGGGTCCGGGTCGGGCCTAGACCCGGTGGGGGGCGGGTCCGGGCTCGGGTCTTATATTTGGCGAACCGGCCCAGCGGGGTCGGGCCCGGGTCCGAGCCGAATTGTTTTTTTTTTTTTTTTACATTTTTTACGTATTTTCATTTTTTCATTTTTTGGGGTTCCACCCGGGTTGGGCTTGATGGTTAGGAGGAGTTTGGGGGGTGTGGGTGAGGGGGGGTTAGGAAAGCAAAAAGAAAAAATATAACCAAATCGGAGGCACGACCCGGACCGGACCCGGTGACTACACGGGCCGGTCCCGGGTCCACCATTTCCGAACCGTCAGCCCGCCCGGGCCTAGGTCCGACCCGGACCGGGTCCATCACTAGGAGAAACTGTCCAAATTGAAAATGAGATTGAGAGCCGCCAAATGCAAAAGGGACAAAGGAAAAGTCTCTCATTCTTCACCTTTTTCGTCCTGGCGGTCTGTCCAAATCACACAAAACGTTCATCAACTTTTTTTTTATACATATAATCATACTTAATAATCCCAATTATTTGCTTAGTCCCATACTTAATCTCTCTGGTCAACTTTTATACTCCCTCCGTCCGAAATTGTTTTGCAAAATCAATATTTTTTGGTCAACCAATAATAAAAGTCAAACATTCTTATTGATAATTAATTCAATTTTTAATAATTAAAATTTACATATTCATAAACTACATTGAAATCTATTCAAAGTTGTAAACTCTAAATTGGAATATAATTAAAAATTGACATCCTAATTAAGCGAACAAAATAAATCTATTTGATCAAGAAAAGTCAAAATTACAACTCAATTTGGGACGGAGGTAGTATCTCATAATAACAACTAACCATGTTGAATATGGTTAGCTGATCAGTACTACGCATACGACTTCTGATAATGGCCAATGGCTCTCTGCCATATGTGCTCGTGTGAACTGTGTGGACCCTCCTAATAAATTCATACTCCCACCCTCTCCATTTAATATTCGCACTTGGAGTTCATTGCAAACCACACAACCACATACTCCCTCCGTCCCGGATAAAACTTGACGTTTGCTTTTGACACGGTATTTTATGAGCTCAATTAAATGAAGAACAAATGTCTAGTATGCCCTTTGACTTTTGGGGGAGTTAATGATATCCACTCAAATGTAAAAAGTAGGTGGGTAGTGAAGGGTAGTTAAGACATTTAATCTAAAAGGTGTTGCCTAAAAAGGAAACGTAAAGGAGTAAATGGGACGTTCCAAAAAGGAAAGTGTAAAGATTTAAAGGGGACGGAGGGAGTATCAATTTTCACATTTAAAATTAAGTTGCATATAGTTTTAAAAAGATTACTGAGTACTAAATAAAAAGTAAATATAAAAAACATGATTACAATTTTTACGACTTACGGGTACATTAGAATATAGTGTCATAATTACTTAAATATAATTGTGTAAAAACACAAGCTATTATAATAAAATTACAGCTAAAGCTACTATAGTTTCCCATGTTATCATATGAAATTACTGCTAAAGCTACTATAGTAATAGTAATATATTTAAATATAGTGAACTCGTGTTCAATTACCATGACATTATATTACTAATAATAGCTCTAATCATATTTTTGTAAATGAAAATATTCCATAATATTTTTGAAAAAGCTCTTAAAAGAAAATGTAATTATCCTTAGACTAAAGGGTCAAATAGATCCTCGAACTAGGTTAAAAAGTGAAAATCACCCTTTATATAAGAGGCTCTGTTCGGACATTGACATTTGGGGCGGTTCCCGGTGAAATTTTTTGATGAAATTTTTTGAGCTTCTTCATTAAGTCTAGTTTACCCATACCAAATTTCCGATAAAAAATTCAATTGGGAACATAGCCAAATGATTTTCTGAAATATACAACATTGTTTAACTGCACAATTATCTTCAAAAATTCATTTTACTACCTTCCCGATTGAACTTTTAGGTGAAATTTGATATGAGTAAACTAGGCTTAATGAAGAAGATTTTAAAAAAATTCGTCAAAAAATTACACTGCGAACTTCCTATATAAGGGGTGATTTGTACCTTTTTATCTTCTAATTTATACCTTTTATTTGTTTTCTTTCAATTTTACTGTATTGTATTCAATACTGCTATTTCGCCCATATGTAAAGTGGTAAAAAATATGCAAGATATAAAATACTACTACGTACGTCTCATTTTATCTGACATATTATTCTTTTTCATTTGTCCCAAATTAAGTGTTACATTTTCTTTTTTGGAAAGAAGCATGTGATCTATATTATTTCATTTTATTATACTCAAATCACAACAACAATATTTACCTTTTGAGCCATTTTATTAATAAGTGTGTCAAATCAAAATAGAACACAAAAATAAAATGACACGGGGGAGTATTATTTTACTCTATTATCTATTTTTATTTTCATACAATATAGGAGGTGTTTGAATCTGATTCATAAAACTGCTTCTGCTCCTTCAGAGAGCAAAAAAAGAAACTGGAGTGTTTGAATAAAAATGCATAAATGAGCCTGGTGCTCTAATTTTTTCCTACAATCAATTTTTTAGAAATTAGTGTAGATCAGTCTCTGAAAACGAATTCTGCTTCTGCTTTGAAAATGAATCAGAAGCCGAATCAGTTCCAAACACCGCCAATAGAACTTCCGAAGAGATATGTACCCACTTAATAATGAAGGAAGCAAAAAAAAATATTAACAAAAAGGAATCCTAATACTCCGGTACAAATAATGTCGTAGTCGTTTATTTGATTTTATGGTGGTTAAAAGAGAGAACCCAAAAAGTGATTATATCGTCGTTTCTGCATTATCAGGCTCTGCAGATTCGACCAGATCTATTTCTGTTCCCGCTGCCCTAAATTAAAATAAACCCTAGCAAAACATTACTATATTTTGTCATTATTTAAAATATTGATTGATGGTTTTGAGTTTGAGCTAATTTTTTAGTCAATTAAACCAACTAAATTGTGTTTGGAGAAGAAGAAGAAATTCAGGGAAACGACAGCCAGCAATGGGTATTTGCACTTCCAAACCCTTCATAGATCCCAATGATTCCAGCAATGGCTCGCCAACGGATAGTTCTATTCCGGTCAAAGACAATCACAATACCAGCGAGAATCAGAGCTGCCAGACGAATATAATAAAGAATGGGGAAGTTGAGGCCGGCAAGAAGTCACCGTTCTTCCCGTTTTACAGTCCCAGCCCGGCGCATTACCTATTCTCTAAGAAGTCACCCGCGAGATCTCCGGCGAATGGCCCTAGCTCCAACTCCACGCCGAGGAGATTTTTCCGTCGACCGTTCCCTCCGCCGTCCCCTGCCAAGCACATCCGAGCTGTTCTGGCGCGAAGGCAGGGTTCAGTGAAGCCGAATGGCGCGTCAATTCCAGAAGGGTCGGAATCGGAGAGTCGACTGGACAAGAATTTCGGGTTTTCTAAGCATTTCGGAACAAAGTATGAACTCGGAGAGGAGGTCGGCAGAGGGCATTTTGGGTATACTTGTAGGGCTAAGTTTAAGAAGGGTGAGCTGAAGGGTCAAGATGTTGCAGTTAAAGTCATTCCCAAAGCAAAGGTGAGTTTCTCCATATTATGTACCCCATTTTTTTTTTGCTGTTTTTATGTTTCAGTTTGATCTGTGAATTAATATTATTATGATGATTAAAATTGACTTTAGCTTACTGCTTGTGGATAACATAAATCAGAGAACTCTGGTTCACTTTGTCGTTTCTGGTTCTGTTTGGTTTTGTCCCTGTTCATTCAGTCAGTCTTCTTCTGTCTAGGATTTCTTTGTTCTCCTGTGTATAGAAATCTGAACATTATGATACGTATTTCATTTAAGGATACATGTAGTAAGAATTCTTGGATTGGTAGAAGCAGTGGAAATTGAAATTGTTGCGTAGAAATCTATATAATCTATTCAATTACTACATACGTTTGCGTAGAAACAGTATATCACATTAGTGTGGTTAACGGCTCTTTACTGCTAGGAACTTTTTCAATCGTCACTATCAGTACAGGACTTCTGTTGAAATTTAAACTCTTACAATATTGCTAAGGCTTTAACTGCAAGTTAATACAGAGTATTTGCACTAAAATGATGTTAATTAGAACTAAATTAAAACCTATCAGGAACAAGAGAGAACTAGAGAATATAGTTTTATGGGTTATAGCTAGAATTGCCTGATTTGTGTTCATATTTTCCAGGATATAAATTAAAAAGGGAGTTCAGATGGATCTTTGACGGTAGTTGGTAAATTTTGTTTTGATCATATCACTGGATGCTGTATCAGTATACTAAGAGCTAATGAATATGTTTTCATTTCTGAATTGTTGCACATTCTGTCATGTTATGCTTACTTATATCAAATATTTATTGAAACATGGTTTACTGTTTTTTATGGTAGTGTTTTATGACTTTTGACTATGTTTGATTCTAAATATTGGCTTCTAGATGACAACTGCCATAGCTATTGAAGATGTTAGAAGGGAGGTGACAATATTGAGAGCTTTGACAGGGCATAACAATTTAGTACAGTTTTATGATGCATACGAAGACAGCGAGAATGTCTACATAATAATGGAGTAAGCTCTAGTTTCTTGAACTTTATATTTTATTATGTTTATGATACCTCAGGTTTTCGAGTAGTAAGACTTTCCTTTGATTCAACTTTTAGGTCATTTTTTAGATAATGTTGTTTCAATTTTTTGTTTTCTCTTATCACTGTTATGTATGTATCATTTTGCTTTTTATCCTTTTGGCTGCCTCTTTGCTACTTGCAAGCACTAACTTGATTAGCTTTTGTCTTTCAGGCTTTGTGAAGGAGGGGAGCTCTTGGATAGAATATTGGCAAGGTGATTAATTTAGTTACAGTTACGTACCAGTCATTTAGAGAACATTTGGTATGACTTGTTTTATAGGAATACATGCTTTTTAGTAAAAGAGATTTTTTTTTGTTTCGGATACAAAAAAAGTCAGTTTAATGCTTATTTGAGAAACTTTTTCAAAAAGCTCTTGAATTGTTTAATGCGAAAGTACTTGTGTTAAAAGCATTCATGCCATAAGTCATCCCAGACAAGCTCGTAGTTTCTTTCATTTTTGAGTTCGCAAATGCACATACGAACCCTATATGTGCTGGGGTTCTTAAAAATTTCACCAGTGTATTAAAAAGTCCTCTTTCTTGTGTAGAGGTGGAAAATACACAGAAGATGATGCAAAGGCCGTGTTGATACAGATATTAAATGTCGTGGCATTTTGCCATTTGCAAGGTGTGGTGCACAGGGACCTCAAGCCTGAGGTTAGTAAAATTGCAGTTCTTGCTGTGATCTCTATATTTCCAAGTTTTTATTTGGTTCTATTATGTTTTTAACTGTAGCTTGTTGCTGAACCAGAATTTTTTATTCACGTCCAAGGATGAAAATGCAGTGCTGAAAGCCATAGATTTTGGATTGTCTGATTTTGTAAAGCCAGGTGTGCTTCCCTTCTATTTACTCCCTCCGCTTCACAATAAGTTTAATTTTTGAAGATTAAGTTGTAATGGAGAAAATCTTTACAATATCATCCTTCCTAAAATCTAATAATCATTGAAGATAAGTTTTGCACAGGATTCTCAAAGAATGCAAAAAAGAAATGAAAAACATAGCTTTAAAAATTGTGAAATAATCCTCCAAATAAACATTTATTGGAGGGAATATATGCCAACAACACTAGTCGTTCTCACAAAATCATGATATGACCTAATTTCATTACTTTTTTAGATGAAAGGCTGAATGATATTGTTGGGAGCGCCTATTACGTAGCCCCTGAAGTTCTACATAGATCTTACAGTACGGAGGCCGATGTTTGGAGTATCGGGGTGATAGCATATATTCTAATGTGTGGCAGTCGTCCATTTTGGGCTCGGACTGAATCCGGAATCTTTCGGGCCGTTCTAAAAGCTGATCCAAGTTTTGAAGAACAGCCGTGGCCCACCCTTTCTTATGAGGCAAAAGACTTTGTCAAACGTTTGTTAAATAAGGATCCACGGAAAAGAATGACCGCTGCTCAAGCCTTGTGTAAGTTTGTATGTCATAAAGTGCAACATTATGCCTTTCTTTGAACCGCTAAAAGCCATCTTTGGTGTGTCGTAAGCTAAGTTCAACAATTTGTAAAAAAAGCTTTTCATTTATAATGAGTTTCATAGACTAGCTTATACAATAAGCTCTTGAGCTTTTTGTATACAGTTCCATTTTAACCATTTTAGGCTCTTTTATTTCAAAATAATTCAACATATCCTTTTACATCATTTTATATGTTTAAATCAACCTATCAGCTAAACTCTACTTTGTGTCGAACAGTATATGAGATTATCTAGGTTATCAAACCCTAGTTATAAGCTATAAGCTACTACGTATAAGTTAGAAATTTACTTATCAGCTTGCTTTTCCAAACACATAATAAATATCTCATGCCTGTTTCAGGTCATCCATGGATAAAAAACAGTAATGAAGCTAAAGTCCCATTGGATATACTAATATTCAAACTCATGAAGGCTTATATGCGATCGTCTGCGTTGAGGAAAGCTGCTTTGCGGGTATGTCTGCTCCTATATGTCTGCTCCTATTAGGGAAAAAGCTAACTATTACTCTGTACAAATTATTTTTATATATCATGTAATGCTTATACCATGTTCTTGACAGGCTTTATCCAAGACATTGACTGTCGATGAGCTTTTTTATTTGAGGGAGCAGTTTGCTCTGCTGGAGCCTAACAACAATGGCACCATAAGTTTGGAAAATGTTAAAATGGTTAGATTTCTTCAAATTTGTGATGTTATACTGCCATTGCTTTGTGGTATTGTGTAAAAGTTTGAATTATTTCAGGCATTAATGAAGAATGCAACAGATGCCATGAAAGAGTCGCGTATCCATGATTTTCTTCCATCGGTACACCCTACTACCTACATCCCACTGCATTCTGACTTGTAATAATATGAGGCCCATTTGTTGAAGTTTATTTGGCTGAAACAGCAGCTGGATTTTCTGAAAGGAAAAATGTTTGGGAACATTTGCTTCAGCCAAATAAGTAAAAGGCGACCTATTCTGCCCATAAGTAGAATAAGCTAGAACTGGCTACCAATTGGAACCTTAGTGTCTTATCTGTTTGCTAAGAGGCCTCCTTGTGTCATATTGGCAGCTCAATGCACTACAGTATAGGAGGATGGATTTTGAGGAATTCTGCGCAGCTGCATTGAGTGTGAATCAACTTGAGGCTCTTGATCGTTGGGAACAACATGCACGATGTGCCTATGAAATCTTCGAAAAGGAGGGGAATAGGGCAATCATCATTGAAGAGTTAGCTTCGGTAAAAATGGTTTCCCCATGTGTTCATTATTTCTGTCATTGGCTTTCTAATAAGTCTGTTATTACTGAGCTTACATTTAGGGTTTGTTTGGACACCACAAAATACTTAGGAAATTAAAGAGGAGGGAGAATAGAGAGGAAAACAGGAAGGAAAGCACATTTGTGGGAATATAATATAAACACTCAAAGTCAATAAAAGTATGTTATATAGCTGTTCAAACCCATTTTTATTTATTTACTTCTAATGTATTGACTAAAATTATACGGAAGGAATATTGACTAAAATTATACGGAAAGAATTTTCGATGGTAAAGATGAACATAACAAGATAACTACCCAAGCAGTCCTTATTTTCCCTTTTCCCTGCCATTTTCTGGGATTTAAACATACTCCTTATGGTGAATAAAATTTGAAAACTTGTGGTTTCAGGAACTTGGACTTGGCCCTTCTGTTCCATTGCATGCCGTTCTCCATGACTGGATCAGGCACACTGATGGAAAGCTGAGCTTCCTTGGGTTCGTAAAATTGCTACGTGGTGTGTCGAGTCGAATACCTCCAAAAGTTCAATGACACTAAATATGGTGGGCTTATTCACAGTATATCAGCAGATAGAGAGATATAGAGTGTGACATTCAGAAGTTATCAAACATTTATCTGGAGCAGGGGGCACTCACGAGTCACCACCAAGATGATGAAAATGGTCGAGGGTGTAAGTAGACGGTTCTCCACACCATTATTCCACTGGAACAATAAGAGAAGAATATGAAGTTGCCGTGGTCGCTTTACCTGGTTTAATTTGTGTGCTAGTATTCCTTGGCTGGTTATTGTTCTAACAAAAAGTTATCTATTTGGAGTACCCTTTCTTCATCAATTGTTTGTCTCATTGTAATCTTATCTTCCTAGTGCTTTTGTGTTGGTTCTCATTTCTCAACCTCCCCATACAATGTGAGTCTGTACTCGATTGTCTCATCTGCTTGCAAAAACAAACATGGGTAATGTAACCTTTTGGAACAAGTGATGTGAGATGGTTGTATAGTGTGGTGTATATGTCATAGGGCCTCGGGCCTCCTCTGCCATGGACTTAGGCCTGTCAATGGGCCAATTCTAGACCCGGACCCGGTTATTTTTAAGGGAATACTCCGTATTTCACAAATAAGCTAAAAGGAGGTGAAAATAATTTCACTTTTCAAAGTTCTTTTCAAAAATGGTCTAGCTAACTTTTCTTTTTAAAAATAGATCATGTACGTAGACAAGCCTCCTGGACACTACGTGTGCAGACACTACGCTACTCATTTTACATCTCTTTATACAAACTCCAAAAATTACTCGAATCATATTTTTAAATAGAAAAAATTTAAATGTTTAGAAAAATGTAAAAATTATGAAGATAATCAGAAAATAATAAAATTATTAAAAATAAGAAAAAATAAAAAATAAAAGAGTACTCAAATTAAGTAAAAGAAAATGCATAATAAAATATCTAAGTTGAAAACTTCTGAATTAAATTTTAAAAATCAGAATTTTAATTTAAAAAAAGGGCAAAGGGGCAAAACCACCCTTAAAGTAGTCACCAGAGGGCATCTATGTCCTTAAACTTCTCTTTTGTGCAAAAATCTTTACAATCTATCAAAAAGGGCAATCACCCCCTTGTTTTCAACGGAGTTAGCAAGTGTTTAACATGGTTGCTTTGAATTTTAAACTGAATATATATTAATTGTATTTATTAACTAATTTTGTAACTTAGTTGAAATATATAAAATACAAATAAAGCAATTACATATACAAGTACTATTAAGATATAAGGTTTCATCCTAAAAGGTCAACTTGATAGGAGAAGTAGATCATATCTTAATATATCACTTTATTACTTCACAATTTTTCGATATGAGACTTTAACAAGTATCCAATAAAAAGCGATAATGTGATGAAATAATGACTATGAAAAAAGTTATGAAACAATTCCATTAGTATTACTCTTTAAAATATGGGGGAGAAAATTATAACTTAAGAGTCCGTTTGGTAACACTGAAATCGACTAAAATTTATGAAGATCTGGCTAAAGTGGCTGTATTAGCTGATTCTGTCGATTTATGAATAAATTATATTTAAAATAAATTGTATTAATAAAATAAAGAAAAAATTATATGAAAAATAGTTAAAATGGTATTCTACAGTAACTTCAACCAATACAACCAGAAAAGTAACTTCAACCTCACTTTTTCTTATTATTACACAATTCTGCGCGCGAAACCAAAAGTTGCGTGTTTGATTAAAAAGTTGACTGATAAGCCTGATAAGCCGAAAACAGAGTCACCAAGTGAGCTCTTCGTAACTATTAGTGACTATAAGTGTGTTCAAATTTAGTAATTTCATGTAAGTTATTACGATGTAACTTTGAACATAATTATAGTAGCTAATAATTACTAAGTACTAGTAATATTTTTGTCCATAACTTTTTCATTAGTACTACGTAATATTTAATGAAAGCCCTAAAAGTTATTAGCAATTAGAAAAAAATTACTCCGGGGATTAGATATGGCAAAATCTAATTAGTGTCCTTCAAAGCAATTTATATTTTGGATTTTTTTCTATGAATATTACTAAATTAAATTCAAATTACAAAAATATGACTTATTTTTCAATAACTAGTTCATAGTGAGTCGTCATCTACCAGTGACTTATCACTCTGAAATACACTATATTGACTATTGTGTAGTTACTCGTACACGGGGGTGGTCATACTTTTATCCAAAACATGACTAGTCATATTCTTATCAGGGAAAACTCTATTAGTAATGTACATGTGATTTTTTTTCTTATATTTTGAAATAAACGTTTAGAAATATGAATAGACTATATTTTTCGTTGCATAATTTTACCTTATTTACCACACAAAGCCTGTTCAGTAATACATGGTTCCGACTTATTAGTCATTTTTTGTCAAACTATTTCAAATCAACTATTTTAGTTGAATTGTATAATAATCAAAATAAGGAGTTTTTTTCCAGAATAATGCAAAATAAAAAAGTATTTACGAAATTGGGGTCGAGTTAAAACTATTTACCAAAATACTGTTGGAATAAACTAGGGTTAGAGAGAGCCGCCAAAGCATTTGGCGACTCTCTCAATAATACGGAGGAAGTGCGTAAAAGGAAAGACAGATTCGCTGGGAGACTAAGGGAGTGTTTGCAATCACTTACAAAAAAATACTTCTCAGCTTTTGGCTTAAAAAAGAACTTATTTACCAAACACTACCAATTTTTACTTTTTCTCGGCTTGCGTGTAAAAAGTGCTTTTCTCCTTTCTATTACACAAAAAACACTTATTTTACCAAACACTATCAACTTTTACTTTTCAAAATCACTTTTTTCTCAAACACTATCAACTTTTCCTACTAATCACTTTTTTCTTACATCTCCAAAAGTGCTTTTTTTAAGCAGAAGCAGTTGCAAACACTCCCTAAGAAGAGCTGTAGAGGTGGGGCCAATGTAGAAAAAAATCATCTTTTTCTTTTAAATAGCTATAACTTTCATATTTTTGCTCCAATTTTTTTTAAAAAATATATCAATTTTTATAACTTTTTGTGATCTTTAATATGACACCAATATATAATATATAAATTTTAAAAAATTTCTGAAGACCATATGGGGTGTAAAAAGAGTTTTTTCCTTTTTTGATCACTCGACTATTATTTCAATGTTACTTTTGGTACCCGAATTCTAATTTTTCTATTTTTAATCGTCGACTATTGTGGTAGGATACTTTTAGTCCCCGATTTCAAGGTTTCCCACATTTAGTCCTCAAAGTATTATCAAATTAATACTTTTAGTTCTCTCATTATGATTTTGGCACATTTAGTGGAGGACTAAAAATGTCATTATCATAATAGTTGAAGGACCAAAAGTGTCACTTTTATGAAAGTTGAAGGACTAAATGTGAAAGTTTTCAAAAACGGGTACCAAAAGTGTCTATAAGGCAATAGTCGGGTGATTCAAAGTGGCAAAAACTCGGTGAAAAAACTAATTGCAATTATCCACCGTCAATAAACTTAATTCTCAATATACCAAAATTATGTATTCACTCTGTCAATTTAATTTTTAAATATCCTTACCCAACATAGTTTTTAGTTAAATTTTAACACTTTTCAATCTACATCAACTTTTAACCAATTTTTTTACGAAAATCTTAATATTCGATTGTCTTGAGTTTTTTAAGTTCAAATTTTTTCTTAAGCAGATCCGAGGGTTAAAATTAAAATCTCATCATTATTTTATACATGTTTTAGTTATTTTTCGAGAAAATACTTGAAGCAATAAAAAATAAATTCCAAATTTTATTCCATTGAAATGTTTAATTTTTTTAATCAAAATGTCAACCAAGATTTTATTTTTTCAATGTAGAAATTCAACAGTTTTTTTTGCTTTGAAATGTCTTACATTTTGAGCTTAAAAATTAAGCGTAAAGAACGGTAGGTGATCGAATCCTTAGATTTTCGTAAAAAAAATTGATTTAAAAGTTCACGTACATGAAAAAGTGCTAGAATTTAACAAAACTATGCTGAGTAAATATATTGAAAAATTGAATTGACAGAGTGAATAGAATATTTTGGCTTAAACTGGATGAGAATTAAATTTATTGATAGTGGATAATTGCAATTAGTTTTTTTTACCCCATATGGTCTTCAGAAAATTTATAAACTTTTTATATTATATATTTATGTCATATGAAAGATTACAAAAAGTTATAAAATTTGATATATTTTTTAAAAAATTTGGAGCAAAAATATGGAAGTTATAGCCATTTAAAAGAAAACGAGTTTTTTTTTCTACATTGGCCCCACCTCTTCCCATACCTGTTAGTCTCTGGCTTTGCTTGTACACACTTCCTCCGTATTATTGAGAGAGTCGCCAAATGGTTTGGCGGCTTTCTCTAACCCTAGTTTATTCCAACATTATTTTGGTAAATAGTTTTAACCTGATCCTAATTTCGTAAATACTTTTTTATTTTGCATTATTCTGGAAAAAAACTCCAAAATAAGTGAGTGTGAAGTAGCTTTTCTCGTAAAATTGACTCAAATTCTTTAAAGCCAGGCATTTTATCTTTTTCATCTAGCTTTTTCTTTATACTACTACATCCGTGCCTTTCCGATGTATCTTCTTTCTTTTCTGATGTATCAATATATATATAAGAAATAATAGTTCGATAAAGTTAGAATAAAACAAAACAAGCATTATTTACAAATACATAAATTGTATCAAATTTGGTATGAGATGATTTTAATTGGAAGCGAACCGAAAAGAGAAAATGAGACAAGTTTAGCGGGACAGGGAGAATTCCCAACTTTTTTGTATCATCGTTCTTTCATTACTTAGTCGCTTTTTATTATTTACTTTTATTTGTAATCATTTTATTTATATTTTATATATTCCAACAAATTTACAAAATTGGTTTAATAAATAAAATTATAACACACAGAATGAAAAAATTAAATTAAACTCTAAAACATATAGAATCTTAAAAATGAATAAAACTTTATACAAAAATGATTTTGAAAATATTTAAAATCATAATTTGAAATTGAAACTTTTTTTTAAGAATTAGTTATTATTTAGAAACGGAAATATATATAAATTAGAAAATCTAAATTTTGTAAGCATGTATATATATATTTGAAAAAAGTTAAAGAACTAAATGGTCTAAAATAAAATATAGATACAAAATTCTTAAAAAAAATAAAAAGAATAAAATTTAATTAAACTTAAAAGAATGAAAAAAAAATCTATAAAAAGTGTGTATAGTTAAAATTAAAATGGAAAACAAAATTAAAAACTAAAACAATTGAAAAAACTAAAAAAATTAAATATTGTAATTCATTTTTTTGTTTTTTTACTACTGTTTCTTTTTGTTGATAAATCTGATTTTATTTTTATTTTTTATTGTTTCATTGTGTACCATGGATTGATTCATAAATCCAAATTTATCATTTTAGGTGTTTGTATATAAATCTATTGAGCTATTTTTATTTCAAGGAAGGA